ACCTTCCCGGAGACAGGTAAACAGAATGGCACCTTCCCGGAGACAGATATACATGATAATCTTCCCGGAGACAGGTAACACATGGCACCTTCTCGAGACAGGTAAACAGCATGCAGCACACCTTCCTGAGACAGGTAAACAACATGACACCTTCCCGAGACAGGTAAATAAATATGATACCTTCCTGAGACAGGTAAATAACACGACACCCTTCCGGAGACAGGTAAACAACATGACACCTTCCCGGAGACAGGTAAACAGCATGACACCTTCCCGGAGACAGGTAAACAGCATGACACCTTCCCGGAGACAGGTAAACAGCATGGCACCTTCCCGGAGACAGGTAAACAGCATGGCACCTTCCTGTAGCCATAAACATCGACACGACACCAAACATCGACTCAGGTGAACTATACAGGGAAGACTAATATACAGTACGTTCAGGAAACTCTGATAAAATATGAGTTACAGAAGTTACATACACACATACGCACACTCGTCATACATACATACATACATACATACATACATACATACATACATACATACATACATACATACATACATTCATACATACATACATACACGCACTGATATAAGCATTCCTATAGTCCTCAGAGAACAGGTGTGTGTCAGAGAACAGGTGTGTGTCAGAGAACAGGTGTGTGTCAGAACAGGTGTGTGTCAGAGAACAGGTGTGTGTCAGAGAACAGGTGTGTGTCAGAGAACAGGTGTGTGTCAGAGAACAGGTGTGTGTCGAGGTGGCACAAGAGTCATGAACCCTGACAGTCTTCCACATAACATTAAATTATATATAAATAATACGATAGTAATTTCCCATAAAAATACACAATAAAAATATATAATAAATGTGTATAGATCTTCACTGATACGTTATATGTGACTTGGTTTGAAATTGTACATATGTTATAAAGACAGATTTATATATATACACACTCCTTCACGGTACATTAAGCAGGTATATAAACAGTTAACAGCAATTTATTTTTTTATTTATTTATTTTTTTTAGTTTTAGTTAATGAGTCTTGATGTGATGCAATATTTTTTTAAAGTAGAATATTGGTGTATTATTTTGCTGTGTTGGTAATGTACACACACACACACACACACACACACACACACACACACACACACACACACACACACACACACACACACACATTTCCTACAATAAGTTTCCCTACACAGCGTTAGAGAAAGTACTGCCAGAACCCCCACAGTGAAGAGAATAAAGGAAGAACAAGTATTGTATGGAGACTCGCAGCCGCTTAATATTCTAATATATCGAGAAAAAAATTTGAATGAACATATAATTAGATAAGAAACAGAAAATAACAAGTAAAAATATCGACTACAGAGAGAGAGAGAGAGAGAGAGAGAGAGAGAGAGAGAGAGAGAGAGTAACAACTACAGACCCAACACATAAATTCAGGAACCAAAATAAGAGTTTAATAATCTCACATGAGTTCGATATTGTGTTTCCCATCATCTCAACCCGGAGTTATTGCCCCTCTGAGTTGATGACTGGTGGGGCTGAGGAGGCTGTGGCCACACTCACTCACAGTAGTGTAGTAGCTTATGGCCACACTCACTCACTGTAACTTATGGCCACAATAACACGGGATATATCGTTAGTGGGCGGAAAATAAATATATACCTGTGGATTAACTCTACTGTAAAGGGTGTTTGACCTTTGATGATGTACAGTGACCTCTGGGATGTGTGTGTGTGTGTGTGTGTGTGTGTGTGTGTGTGTGTGTGTGTGTGGTGTTGTTGTCATGTTATATTACATAACCTGTACACACACACACACACATAAATGCAATAGTCGTGTGTTTATCAATTTGCTGAGGACAGACAGACTCAGTTGGTGTTATTTCTCTATAAAACACTGGCTATATATTTAGTACAGTATCAAAGGGACAATTCACCCTCACTCCCAGCCTTGGTTTAACACTAATCTCTTTAATCTCACAGGCATTGGCGAGATCCAGATGTCCCTACCTCTCTCTAGTTGTACACACACGTATACATATATACATACATACATATATACATTCATACATTTATACATACATACATACATACATAGAGGTAAACAGGGTGTGTGTTATATAGGGTACAAACAGGTTATGGTATGTAAGTGTTCCCAGGTATAATAAACTGGTTCTTGTTTGGTAAGGGAAACAAACAAACAAAAAAACAATGAAAAGAAACATGCAAACAAAATTAAACAAGTAATGACCCACATAAAAACTATCACACAAATAAGCAAACAAACAAATAACCAAATATAGACAAAAATAATTATATAACAAACAAAAACAAATACAAAAGGTAACAAAAACAATCCGTATGTTGTTATTCCTGTATCTGTACCTGTCCTTGTACCTGTAATTACATATGTACCTGGATGTATACCTGTAATGTGTTACCTGTTCTTGTACCTGTACCACATACCTGTATATGTACTTGTACCGTACCTGGAATTAGGCCTATATCTGTACTTGTACTGCACCCAATTAGGGCTTACATCTGCATCTCTGTATGGAGTGCCGTACAGAGACACACCTTGTTGACATAATGGCCACACACTGACACACCTTGTTGACATAATGGCCACACACTGACACACCTTGTTGACATAATGGCCACACACTGACATACCTTATTGACATAATGGCCACACAGAGACACACCTTGTTGACATAATGGCCACACACTGACACACCTTGTTGACATAATGGCCACACACTGACACACCTTGTTGACATAATGGCCACACACTGACATACCTTATTGACATAATGGCCACACACTGACACACCTTGTTGACATAATGGCCACACAGAGACACACCTTGTTGACATAATGGCCAGACGTCTTAATTCACCTTTACAATATGAAAATCTTCATGGCAAAATTATATTATTTATTAATTTAACTACATCACCCACTCACTGTCAAGGGTAAACACGCTATTTATTTCCCATGGTATAAATTACCATTATTTTTTGCATATACCCAAACCTAACCTACCCTACCCTACCCTACCCTACCCTACCCTACCCTAGTGCTGTTGCTGGATGATGAGATGTTTGGTGTTGGATGGCAAATGGTACAGTGTGGGGAGAGATATTTTAATTACTTTGAAAACTTAAAGTTGTGGGAAATAAAATAGTTTATTCATATTCTTTCTTTCACTCTCTCAATCTCTCACTCATTCTTTCTTTCTTTAAATTCCTCTCTTTCTTTCTCTCTCTCTCACCCATTCTTTCTTTCTCTCAATAAATTCCTCTCTTTCTCTCTCTCTCTTTCCTACATTTTTATCTCAGTTTATCAATATTTGTCTGAGCTCGGAGACAAAAATATTGAACAAGAGAATTTTTTTTTAATAGATTTTTTTCATTGTTGGTTTTAATGATCAGCTAAATTACAGGCATTTAACTAGCACTTCAGGTAAATTAAATTAGCTTTTTGTTGCTTTGTATTTTTAGCTTATAAAAATATGTTGTTGTTGTTGTTTTATGATTATTAAATTTCGTCAGTGTACTAGCTGTCATCTACTAGACAACTATCTCCTAAACACACTCCCTTAGAGAGATTATTTCCAAGCTTACGTGCACACTTATCTCTTAAGCTATTTCCAGTGTTATCTCCATGGCTATCTATCTCCTAAGAATGTCTGTGTTTTTATCTATAAGACTATTTCCAAAACATTATACAAGGTTATTTATTTTCAAACTTTTCTATTTCCAGAACTATTGCCAAATTTACGTCCATGAATGACCTGTTAGATTATTTCCCAAGACATTCTCCGAGGGTTTTAATCTCCAGAAATATTTACATGTCAATCTCTATCACCAACTACACAAATAGAATAGTATCTCCAAGTACTATCTCCAAGTACTATCTCCAAGTACTATCTCCAAGTACTATCTCCAGGTACTATCTCCAAGTACTATCTCCAAGCACTATCTCCAAGCACTATCTCCATGTACTATCTCCAGGTACTATCTCCAAGTACTATCTCCAAGTACTATCTCCAAGTACTATCTCCAAGTACTATCTCCAAGTACTATCTCCAAGCACTATCTCCAAGCACTATCTCCATGTACTATCTCCAGGTACTATCTCCAAGTACTATCTCCAAGTACTATCTCCAAGTACTATCTCCAAGTACTATCTCCAGGTACTATCTCCAAGTACTATCTCCAAGTACATCTCTTAGCTTATCTATCTACAAGAGTATTCCCAACTTATCTCTTAGGTTATCTCACCATGATGCTTTATTTCCAAGATAATCTCTCATGTTATCTGCAAATATCTTTATTTCTGTTATCTCCAAAATTATCTCAGAGAGTCCCCATGTCTAAGAGTATCTCAAACTTGATTTCTAAACAACTATTTCTAAATAATATCTCCAAAGTTGTTTCAAGGATTATCTCTCAAAACAATTAAGACAATCTCCAACTCTAAATGTATCTCCAAGACTATTTCTCATCAAGCAGTACACACACCAGCGCCATGTATTGCCCTCAGTGACTACAAAACTATCTCCACGATTATCTCCAAACATATTTCTAAGGCAGGAACAACACCAGCCATCTCCCTTCAGTGTTGTGAGCTAATGACACAACACCAGCCATCTCCCTTCAGTGTTGTGAGCTAATGACACAACACCAACCATCTCCCTTCAGTGTTGTGAGCTAATGACACAACACCAGCCATCTCCCTTCAGTGTTGGCAGAGCTAATGACACAACACCAGCCATCTCCCTTCAGTGTTGGCAGGCTAATGACTGTACCAGCCATCTCCTTCAGTCAGTGGCAGGCTAATGACACAGCACCAGTATCTCCCTTCAGTGTTGTGAGCTAATGACTAGCACCCAACCCATCTCCCTTCAGTGTTGTGGCTAATGACACAAGCACCAGCCATCTCCCTTCAG